CGGGGGGTTCCCCCCGCTGTAGCATGAGTCTCAGATTCAAGGGGTAAGAGCTCTGCCCCCCCCCTCCCCCCTGGGTATTCCCTCGGGCTACCACAGCTCATCTCTATCAGAGCTCTGTCTGACCTCTTCAGAAAGCTGCACAGTTCAGCAAAGAGAGAGGAAAGACACCCGGATGCCTTGCACCCACTTGTCCGAACCCAAATTAAATGCCCCACAACAGGGGAAATGCTCAAGGCTTTGAGCTGCTATTGAAAAATCCTTCCTCAAGGAAGCAAATTTGGCTACAAAGTGCAGCTTTCCCATACAAATGCTGCACGTTCAGTTTCATGTGTTTCTGTCTCTGTTATCTCTAGGAATTCATAGAATCATAGAAAATGAGGGCTGGAAGGGACCTCAGGAAGTCATCTAGTCCAACCCCCTGCCCAAAGCAGGACCAGCCCCAACTAGATCATTCCAACAAAAGCTTTGTCTAGCCAGGTTTTGAAAACCTGCAGGGATGGAGATTCCACCACCACCTTTATGGTAACCTGTTCCAGTGCTTCACTAGCCTCCTTGTGCAAAAGTTTTTGTAATATCCAACTTAAACCTCCCTTGCTGCAACTTGAGACCGTGCTCCTTGTTCTGTCATCTGCCACCGCTGAGAACAGCCTAGCTCCATCCTCTTTGGAACCACCCTTCAGGTAGTTAAAGTCTGCTATAAAATCCCCCCTCAGTCTTCTTTTCTGCAGACTGAATAAACCCAGTTCCCTCAACCGCTTCTCATAAATCATGTCTCCCACCCCCCAAGCCATTTTCATTGCTCACTTTGGACCAGTCAGCTCAAGGTAATGGTGGGCCTAGGAGTCACCTGTAATATGCAAAATTTGTGCTGGTGCTTTAGCTGCTGCTCCTCGGGTCTGGCCTGTTTCCTTTTTGTAGAAATGGATTTTGAGGCCGTTGGAAAGTGCTCTGCATTACACCAGAAACCTGTTGGACTCTCCCTTCAGTATGGAACTGCTGGCTTTCGTACCAAGGCGGAACAGCTCGATCATGTCATGTATCGCATGGGCTTGCTGGCAGTGCTGAGATCCAAGCAGACCAAATCTACTATTGGAGTCATGGTGACAGCATCTCACAACCCTGAAGTAAGCATAAATGTTTCTGAGGATAAGCGTGATTTAAAAAGGAGAGTCAGCCAAATGAGAATCAAACTCCTGCATCTGATTGGGATAGGTAGCAGTTCCACTCAGATTCTGCAAACAAAATGCTTAATTTAAACATGATTAGTCCCACTGAAGGAAGTGGGGCTACTTGTATACTTCACATTACTTCCCCACACAAACTCTTGTGCTGCTTGTGTACATAGTGGATTTTTTCCCCTTTCGATTTGGAAGGAGAACTGGTACAACAGAGCAGGGCCTTATGAAGACTGGGAACATCCTGGAGGAACAGCAAACCCTGTCAATATTTGCTTTAAAAAAAATTATAAGCATGGTATTGGAGCCCTTGCAGCTCAGCTGGGTTAAGGAGTCACCAAGTGTATCACTTTGATAGCAATTGAACATTTTATAAAGCTGCCCGAAAAAATGGATGATTAATATTCTGATTATATTACTTATTTGGTGATGATTAATATTCTGATTATATTATTTGTGCTTGATGTAGCTTTATTTGGAAACTAAATTAAACCTGTATGAATGATAAATGAAAGATGTAAATAAAGCCATGTAACTGTGTTAGTCATCAGTCATCAGTGATCTTTAAAGACATTTTATTTCACTTTTCTTCTTCAACATTGTGCATTTATTTTCTTCTAAGGAAGACAATGGTGTCAAGTTGGTGGATCCTCTTGGAGAAATGTTGAACCCTTCCTGGGAGGAGTATGCTACGCACCTGGCAAATGCAGAAGAGCATGAAGTACAGAGTGTGCTGGCTGAGATTTGCCAAAAAGAAGCAGTAAACCTGCACCAACAGGCCTCGGTGTTTGTTGGGAGAGACACCAGGTAATTGTAAAATGCCGTAGCCATACACTGCTTTTATTGAACTTCTAAAATTCCATTCCTGGGCACTTATTTTTGCTGGAACTTCTATGCTCAGAGCTCAAGATTCTTTAAACACTTTTTATGAATTTTTCATTTCAAGGTTGCTAAAACATACTGAAAAAATTGTCCCTTCATACTCACAAATGTGCTTTTTAGACCTAACCTAGTGCCCATTGAAGACAACTGAAGGACTTCTTTTGACATCAGTAAGCATTACTGAGTCCATTGGTATTCATAACGCTATGCTGGCTGCACAATATCTAAGTCACTCCTTTCATGTCATAGGGAGGGATGACCCTTCAGTGAGATTTGTTAAGAGGGTGAAATCCTCTACCTGTAGAAATTCTTATAGAAGCAGAGCCTTTGTTGGTATTTATGCATAGTATTTTATAACATGATTAGTATGCACAGTAGTTTATAACGTGATGCTGACTGTCATTTACTGTTTTTCAGGCCCAGCAGTGAGAAACTTTCACAATCAGTGATAGATGGCATCTCTGCTCTACAAGGCCAATATCATGGTATGTTAGTCTATGAATGTATGTTTTATATTTGAAACTCTTATGTGAGTGTGAGACTCTAGTATAGACCCATTGTTGTAGCCCAGATACCATTTCTATTTCTGCTTATAGTGGTTTTTGTTTGGAACAAGTGTGTCACTTTAATGTAAGTGGATTCTTCTCTACATAAAGAAAGTTTTAGATGGGTTTCTTACAGGGTATTTTTCTGTAATATATAGTAGTAAATACTGTTTGTCTCTTAAGAGGAATGGATTTTCTACTTTATTGCTTGAATATTGTGACTTATTCTCTGTCAGATTATGGCCTGCTAACAACACCACAGCTGCATTATATGGTTTGCTGTCAAAACACTCAAGGGCGCTATGGAAAGGCAACCCTGGAAGGTTATTATAACAAACTGTCCAAAGCTTTTGTAGAGCTGACCAAACAGGTAAAGGCACTTAGATTTCTCCCAAAGTGATTCTTACTTGCATTAATTTAAATGTACAACCTGGATATCTTTTGTTTACTGGTCCAAAAATGGAGCACTTAGAACAAACTTGCTTGTCTTTTTGCAGGGAGTATGCAGGAAGTTCAGTTTATTATCCAGAATATTATAATTTGTGTTACTTCCATCTTCATTTCCTCTTATATCTGAAGGCTTCCAACTCTGGAGATGGTCAAAGGTGTCTGAAGGTAGACTGTGCAAATGGCATAGGAGCCCTGAAACTAAAAGAAATGGAACATAACCTCCCACAGCAACTGTCAATTCACATATACAATGATGGAAGCAAAGAGAAACTCAATCATCTGTGTGGTGCAGACTTTGTGAAAGTTCATCAGAAACCTCCCCTGGGTATGTAGTCAGCCATAAGTGTCTGTATTCTAGAGGGTGAAGCAGCTTCCTCAGCCATATCTTTGACAACCTAGGACTTGATGTGAAAACACAGTAGTGTATGACTTTCCTAGAAATAGGTGAGATTGCTTTGTGAGCTCTTTATTACATTGCTACTTTAACAATTTACAGCATGAACAAAGTACATTTGTCTCACAACCTGGTTTGAGCCCTAGAATAGTTATTGCCTGAAGCCCCAAACAAAGCAAATTATTTTCATTATTTTTAGTTGTCTGGATGCATGTTGAGAACACCAGAACTGGGATAGTTGGTAAAGTCTTTCTGTGGGCTTTTAAAGGATGATCGGGATAAGGCCATCTAGTCAGTAGTGTGGGGAATGTTAGAGAAAACACTGTATCTAAGGGCTTACATAACAGCACTGTTGGTGGAATTAAGGGTCAAAGGTTTCACATGTTTGATACATTAGGCGAGAGAGATCTGTGTGTAAAGGAAAGGACATGGGGCATGCTTGGGCGGGGCAAGGCAGAAGCAGGGAGAAATAAGAACAGGGCTCATGCAGGCCTCAAGGAGAAAAGAAGGAAGACATTAGAAAGTAAAGATCCATTCACCCTCTAGACAGTGATGCATCAAGGCCATGTTGGTCTTGGCAAGGCCAAGGCTTCTGCTGTGTGTGTGTGTGTGTGTGTGTGTGTGTGTGTGTGTGTGTGTGTGTAATAATATAAGCTCTGTGAGCAAATGCTGGTGAGTTAAACTGTTTAGGTAGAGGGGGGTTGTATTTGGAAGTGAAACACATGAAGGTCCATGGATACAAATGCAGTACTGTGTGTTTGTTCCACTCAGGTTTTAAAATCAGACGTGATGAGAGAGAGGTTGTTTCTAGTGCAGCATGGCTCTGGCTGAAGTCACTTAGCTGCTTCCTAGTTTTTTCTGCTTTTGAACTTCCACCCATAGGCAGGGCTTATTTTTCTCATTTTTGCAGACTAGCTCACTTCTGTGAATCGCTGAGGGAGAATTAGATGTCTCTGACTTGTTTCAATAGGTCATGCAGCTTTGCAAGTACACTCTGGTGACTAAGCATGTTTTGAGGAAGCAGGCATTTAATAAGACAGGGTTTTATTTTTGATGCTATAATTGATGTGCATTACCAACATGATATACTGTGACCTGTCCATTAGGAGTAGCTCTCAAATCACACACCATATATTGTTAGTAAGTTAGCAACTTTAAGGAGACATAGCACTGTAAATCTTTATAAGGCCAAAGTTTTAATTTGTTGTTCAGTTTGAAATTAACACACGCTTTTCTTCACAATTGCCATCAAAGTAGCTTCCTGTACTGGAAGACTTCAGAATGGGATTCTGTAGAATAAGCAACTTCCTGCTTTGGTAATATGTCTCTGAGACTAGTTACTTTTTCATGGTGTAATGCAGTGGTTCTCAACTTTTTTAGACTTGGGGCACCCCTCAAAAATGCCAACTCTTAGTTTTCATTCTTTTTTTGACTACAGAAGAACAACAGAGCAATTTTTGCTGCTGCAAAGAACTCAGAAAGACCTCAACAGAGCAAACTGCTTTTGACATTGTGGATTTCTATTTCAAATCTCTGGATTTAGCTAGTGAATCATGTTTGCACACCTAATGGTGCTAATATTGTATAGCACCCTGCAGCACTTGTGAAAGGATCTCAAGGCACCCCAGAATGCCATAGCATGCAGGCTGAGAATCACTGTTTTAATATGTCTTTATAGAACTAATCTCCTCAATACTTTAAGTACACATAAGTTAGGATTAATTAAGGCTTTGCATCCCATTCCACATCTAATACATACATTTGTAACCATGTTTGCATTAGGACTAGAAATGAAACCTAATGAAAGATGCTGCTCATTTGATGGAGATGCAGACAGAATTGTCTATTACTATACTGATGCTGCTGGTCATTTTCATCTTATTGATGGAGATAAAATAGCAACATTAATCAGCATTTTCCTTAAAGAAAGTCTTGTCAAGGTAACTTTCACCTGTAAAGAAAATTAGGTTGTTTTGATTTGCCAGATCATCAAATCTATATCTCTCCCAGTGAGGGGGTGGGGGTGTGTGTGCGCGCACGTGCGTGCGTGTGTGCACGTGTTTGTACATGCATGTGCGCAGCAAGTATTTACTAAATCTAGTAAATACTTGGTTTAGTACATGCAAGTATTTACTAAATCTGCATAAAGATGAAAGCAAGTTTAAACAAAGATGACCTCTGCATCAGTTGATGTAGCAAAAGGAAGCAACTTAATTTTTACAAGACAAAGGGGCTGGCTTTAAATTGGAAACTAGAAAACATAGCACTGATATCTTGACCTGGAAGCATTTGCTAGGAATTGAAAAAGTGAATGCCTCAGTTGGTAATCAGTGGAGCTTCCAACCCCCATAGCTTTGGTTTGACTAAAGTTAAATTTTAGGGCCCAATCCTTCATTTCTCTTTCCGATGAACTCTGCTTGTCTACCCCGCAACTCCCTCTGCAGAAACTCAGACCATTTAATGTGTCTGAACCTGTGTTCACAAAGCTTTCTAGTATTCCCATTGAACATTGTGCTGTGGGTCTGTCAGTGTAACTATTTCAAAGCCTATCTGCCTGAGGTAGAAAGAGCAGCTTTTTTGGAATCCCAACCCTGCCTTTTGTCTCTCTGAGACTGCCCTGCTGTGATGGAAACCAGTTAGTTTCTGTTTCTTCAAGCTGAGCTGAGCTGAGCTGAGATGTCAACTCATTTTTCCCAGTACCACAGAAATATTATCTAGTGACAAGTGCTTGCAATTACAGCTCGCCCCTACCAGATTCATAAAGGTGAAGAAAACTATTCAAAAGCCCTACATCTTCTGAGCCAGTATCATCTGATTTCCAAATGTGGAAATGCTCTGGAAAGGGAGAGAATAATATATGTAGAAAAACTTCCAGAAAAGCAAGTGTTTCTTTCTTCTTCCCAACTTAAAGCTTGCTTTAGCTTTCTCATCTGTTCTGTGATTTTGTGAGAACTTACTTGTCTGGCCATAAGAATTTTATTTTTGGTTTGCCCAGGTAGGACAAAAATTAATGATGGGAGTGGTGCAAACAGCGTATGCTAATGGGAATTCTACACGTTATCTTGAAGAAACTATGAAGGTACCTAGTCATCTTTTCTCACTGTATCCTCCATAATTGCTCTGTACTTTTACATGGTGGACATCAGGTAAATGTGTAAATATCACTAACTCTTAAAGTTGTAGTAATAAATGAAATACAAGAAAATGTCAGGTCAAGCCAATATTTTTTGGCTTTTTTTTTAAAGGAAGAATTGCAAGTGAGAACAGAAATCCTGTAACAGTTCTGACCATATTTAGGGTATGAACACTGTATATTGTTTTAAAGTTGGTGGGATATACTGAGCTTCAGCTGAATCCACTCTTCTGCATATCTGTTCCCTTCCTGTGGTAAGAGGAAATTAAGCCAGAGAAGATGACCTCCATTGTTAAGATACCATGGTTTAGCTTCATTTGTTGAGGAATAGGAGTGAATGCAAGAAGCAGTTACAACAGATTGCTCGATACATGCTTGCAAGCAGTACATACCTTTACTTCTTAAAATGAAAACAGTGTCATTGTACATCTATCTAGGTTGGTTGGGAGCCTAGAGTTCTGCAGTATTGAAAGAGCTCAATATACTGCAGCAGCAAAGGGGAATAGCAAAGGCCTAATTACCTTGGAGACAGTTTTGTTTGTGCCTGAAAAGGAATATTTATGGTTCTGATTTTAACTTAGTCACTTGTTGGGCAAGCTCTCCAGATAACCCAGTCTTTTGTTTCCTTCCTGAACAGAACTTTTTGGCAGAACTTTGGGCTACCACTCTGTAACATCCTGTTCAATAGTGAATCTTAATCTTTTTCTGAACAGCAAAGTTCTGGTGTATTCAGTGGATCAGGCACAGATCTGGGAGGTGGGATATTGCTCATAGCCAGAAAAGGGAAACAAGTCAGATTAGGGTCACCTGAAAATCCAGGAACACATCTATTTCTGTAATGTGCCATCACCTAATTTTAAGACTAAATCATAAAAAAACCAGCATGAAGGAATACTGTTTTTATGAACAATTTTTTCAGGTCCTCAAGCAGGGGGCAATAGGATCACACTTTAATTAAGGACAAATGAATAAAATACTCTGTGTATGCTTTCTGCTCTGTGCTTGCAGGTACCTGTTCATTGTGTCAAAACAGGAGTTAAGCACTTGCATCACAAGGCCCAGGAGTTTGACATTGGTGTTTACTTTGAAGCAAATGGGCATGGCACAGTGAGTACTCCAACATGGATCATCATAAGATGTTAGCCTGTATGAAAACATAACTACCAACTTAGCTTGAGAGGAGGTAGCTTCCTTCCGTGCCCTTTTTCTCATTGCCACTAACTGTTGAACATTATAAATATGAGAGGTCATGGAATTGAAACTCATAAACATTTACTTGGTTTAGACAACATAACACAAGATCCTTTTTCTCCCTCTACTGTTGCAATACCCTGTTGTTCTTGAGATGTCCTATCAATCCTTTACATATCTTATCACCATATCTCTTATTCTAGGTCTTATTTAGCAAAGCTGCTGAAGAGAAAATAAGACATTTGGCAAAAGAGGGAAAAGATAATCAAAAAAGGGAAGCTGCAAAGATGTTTGAAAACACCATTGACTTGATTAATCAGGTAAAACTTGGAGATGTAGATTGTGAAGGGAATAACAGCAGTCTTGTGTCGAGTACTTGCTAAGTTGTAGGTTGGAGTTTATAGATCATCTTGAACAAGAAGGCAGCCCACGGCGGCAAAATTGGAAAATGGATGGCCTATTTTAAACCTTTTGCTGAGCAGGCAGCAATGGTGACACAGCATTATCCTTTACATGCCATTTTCCCAAGTTTGCACCAGGAAGGAGGCATATTTGTAATTGTTCCATTTTGAATTATGTCAGATGTACAAAGGCAACATGTTTTTATTTTGTCATGTCCTTCCTAGTTTGAAACTAGGAAAAAGGAAGAGGTTTGGATGGCTTGGGAGACAGGTAATGGGATGTGGAATCTTGTGTTTCATTCACCTTTTTGTTACTAGCTTGCTCAGATTTGGCCAAAAGTAATTTTCATTTGATGGCTATTCACTAGCTTTGGTGAGGGGAGGAAATGGAATGCACTAGTCCTTGTAGCTAGATCATCATGGGAATCCTTGTTGGCAGTCTTAGCCCAGAGGGTAAGGTCTGAATGGGATGGAGCATGAGTATCTTGCTCAACTGGAGGTAATGCTTCCTCTTTAGAGATCCAAGTCCCAATTATCCTTTCATTGGAACCCTGATGCCATAGCCAGGGTGGGGAGGGAACTGAAACCTGCTTTTGTTCAGTCTGGCCTCTTGTGGTGACAGCTATTGGGGTTCTACTGCAAGGAGGCTGCTAACATTCTGGCAAAGCATACTGGGTACTCCTCTGGCTGTTGCTTATGGTAAAAAGTAGTAATAGAGCACATTTGTGACAGTGAATCAGTAAGCCTACATTTTAATTACTCTCTAGGTTTTGGGGTTGTATGTTTATTTTTCATTCTTTAAGGTTGATGTTCAGCTGTTCAACAAAATACCCTGGATTTTTCTCACTGTCACTGAGGTCTCCTTTGTTTTCTTCACATGCCTAGACAGTTGGTGATGCTATATCAGACATGTTAGTGATTGAAGCAATCTTGGCTCTGAAAGGTCTTACAGTGCAAGAGTGGGATGCTATCTACACAGACCTTCCAAACCGGCAGCTCAAAGTTAAGGTTAGTGATACTTTAGCATTGCTGGCTGAAGAGGCTTCATCCTCTACATGGAAGTAGGGTGACCATAATAATTTGAGGGAAATCTGGGATGGGAGATACCAGAGGGCAGCCTGCCCAACCCTTCTAGCAGCTGCTTCCAGGAGTGGGGCAGCTCCTCCTCTTCCTCCCCTCCCCCCACACCAGTTCTACTGCACAGGCAACTCAGCTTGCAGCCCAGCAGTCTGAACCAGGGAGCAGAGCAGCCCATTGACTGGGCTCCATGGAGAAAGTTGAACCAAAAGTCCCGGATTGGCACAAACCTGCCTGCACAAGTCTGGCTCCTGAGTCAGGAGCCAGGCATATGTGGGTTGGGGTCATGCCAATCTCAGACTTTTACTTCAGTTTTCTCCAATGGCTGGGATGTTGATACAGCCTCTGAAATTCAAGGACATATGGTCACCCTACGGAGAAGTCTTTCTGCCTGGAAATGAGACTTGTATGACAATACAATATAAATACTGTTAGTTGGCTAGGATGTATAGAGGACAGGTTTGGAAGTGGAGGATGGACCTCCACTTCCTGAAACTTGGATAACTGATGTACTAATGTCACAAATTAGAATTTCATATCAAGGCTCACATTGGTATGTTGTCCCCTTACCACAGGTTGCAGACAGACGAGTTATTGACACAGCAGATGCTGAAAGACGTGCAATCTCACCTCCAGGACTACAAGAAAAAATTGATGACCTTGTAAAGAAGTATAGATTATCACGATCTTTTGTCCGCCCATCTGGAACTGAAGATGTGGTTAGAGTGTATGCTGAAGCAGACACACAGGTCAGAGCAGAAACCATTTCTACATGCAGCAAACCTTTTGTTCAAGCACTGCAGTTCTCTGAGAACTCTTGTCAGGCCCAGTGTGATGGGAGAAGTGTATTTATATTGGTGACAGAGAGTTAGGAATATGTGATGAGAAGGAGTGTAGGTGAGTTGGAACCTTTTTCCTTTTAAGTATTTCCATAGTGGTTTTAACACTAGTTCATCAAGTGCTGGCTTGGTGTTGACCACTTGCTTTACAGTAGGTTAAAAGTACTTGGAAAGTTACTTCATGTAATGTTAGTAAGAAAATCATCTCTACACCTATCGCTTTGACAAGGCCACTATGGTTTTATTTAGGATCAAGCCATCAATGACTGAATGTTCTCATCTGACTGCGTGGGGGCATATTTGAAATAAACCTTGGTCTTGTCCTCCATGACAACATAAATCAACCCTGCTAAATCCATACAACTGACTTGCTGTAATAGGTAGTAAGGGTACAGGTGGGTCTTGAAACTAGACTTACATGTGACTTTTTTCAGACCAAATGATGCCAATTTTCTTTGGCAATTCCAAATTACTATCTTTTCTATGGGTAAATGTGGCTAAAAAATAGAAAGGCTGAAATGTGGTGCCTTTAGTACTTCATTCATGTAAAAAAGAATGGACTCCAAACTATCAGTATTAGACAGAGTCTAGATTAAATGAGCAATATTTACAGCACAGTGTAAAATACTCTTTTTAATTGTCCATAGGAGAATGCAGATGCTCTTGCACATGAAGTGAGCCTGGCTGTTTACCAACTGGCTGGGGGGGGAGGAGGACCACCCCAGCCTGTATCCTGAAGGAGGCAGCTGAAGTAGTACTACATCACTTGACAGCATAGATTTTTCTTTTTGCTTTCTCCCCGCACCCCCATAAAGCGATTTCAATTGTAAAATAATGAAGACTGATTGGAATATTCTTCAACATGATGTCCTACCTCTTTGGAATTCTCTCTAATGGGATTCTCCTGCTGCCAAGCAAATTTGTTTTTCTTAGCCTTATTTTAACTTTTTACTTCTATTCAAGTACAACAGAACTGGAAGCAAGTAGCCAATGTTCTCTTTCTAGTTACTTTATCTAACTTGGAGCTGATTTCCTGCACACTGGTTCTGTGTGAAAGAAGTTTTTTTCTAGAGGAAGAGAGTATTAGTGTCAGAATATTAAAATGAGATTTTTCTGTTCTGTGGAAGTCTGGTTGCTTCTTCTACCTCCTGAAGCATGTTAAGAATATTGCTTGCTTGCAGCAATACACAGCACTGGCCATTCAACTGTTACTGCTCCAGGGCAAACCTCCCTCTGCTCTTCTAAGCAAGCAGGACCAAATTCTCAGTTAACTACTTAATCTCACATCTTAGCCAACTGTCCTGAGATATAAACCTTCATAAGTAAAAGCTTGATCCAAGACAAAAATTCATGTCTCATGCAACTGAGAATCACTGAATGTATTTTCCATGTTAAAAACACATTGACATGACACTCAGCTCTATGCTTAGGTTTCAACTGTTAACAAAGCTCTTTCATTAATATGAGAGACTAATGCTTTCATGGTAGAGTGATGAATGCATTATGGAAACACTTCCATTACATTTATTTTAAACTGGTTAACGTTTTTATCTTACTGTGTAAAATTGTGGATCCTGTTATTCAGAATCTAGGCCAGCAGTTCTAAACTTTTCTGTACCTGAGGCACCCATTACTGGACTCAAGGCACCTTCTATCACTTTTGTGAATTGAGTGGTATTCAATTTAAAAAACTAATTTACTTATTGCAGAACTTACCTTCCAACATGGGCTGAGCAGTACGGGGTTGGGATTCCTCCAGGTAGGGACAAGCCTGAGCCTGCCTTACCTGCTCACACTTCATGGCACCCTTCAAGGGACCTCGTGGCCCTGGCCACCTATATGTGACTTTGCTCATTTCTATTCCCAAAGCTATAATATTGCTATACAACACTGGAAAAATTTCTTCATGCTAAGTTAGTTATGTAAAGTCTTCTTCCATGCTACTAAAACAAGCAGTCCTCCAAAGGCAGCAGATTATGACCATTCAGTATAAATACAGCAGCCTCCACAATTTAAGCCCTAGTTCAATAATGTATTTAAGCATTTTGCTCAATTAAGCCTATACATTTTACTGCATTTTTAAAATAAATTGACTGCATTATTTCATATTTTTTGTGCAATGGGAAAACAAACCATTTGGTACCATATACTTCAGTAAGAGAAATTGTTTAGTTCTTCTTGCAAACTGCTTTAGAAAGAGAGGCAAATATGCTTCGTTTACAGATGGGGACAGACAAGTTAAATAATGTGCTTTATACTGGGGAACAGAATGCTGCCCTCGTAATACCAAGTATTATTCAGTGGCCTATGGTGTCTCACCACTATTCTCTAATTCCAGTATTTTTATGGTCTACAACAGGATGGTTTGAGAAGGCTCTTAGTATGTAAGTTTGCGCAGTGGCAGTATCATAGCCAATGAGGTTAATCTGAGGTGCGATTTTTGCTAATTATTGCTAGTATGTAAGTCTGCACAGAAGTCTCAGAATAAATGGCTGGATGCATAATACAGAGCCATTTTTTTCCAGGAGACAATATGTATAACCCAGAGAAAATTTCTCCAAGCTCATTGAAAATATTTACTTATCACTACACAAAGCTTAAAAGTAAATAGTCTGCAGTTCTCAAAAAAGCACAAAGTCTGAAGCTTACATACTGTGTTCAATAGTTGAATAAAGTGACATAAAGGATAAAAATGAATTTAGTATCTTACAAAGAGGTGACTCTGGATTTGTACACATATATAAATCATAATGGGATCAGCAAAGGACAGAAATGTTCCAGAGTACTTGTACTCTTATGGTGCCCTGGAAAAAGGTAGCAGGAGGGAAAGTAATAGACTATTTGTATTTAGCAAGTCAGTCTTGTGATGCAAACATACCCAATGACATGAATATAACTTGTACTGGAAGATGTTTACTCCTCATTCTATCAGGGGTATTTCCTTACTGTAACATCCAGTTAAGGGTTTGCTTCATCTATCTGTTACCTTTGCTGATTATACCGGTGTAAACTCTTTCTTCATCTCCACCCTGTCTCTAAGGTGTTTTCTCAGCCTGTCCAAACTTCCTGTTAGCTGTAATATTTAATGGCATGATATTAAGATTTAGGTCCCTTGTTTTGATTTGTAACTGTCCCATCTCTTTGCTGGATTTGGTCTATTTTTTGAGGATTTCAGTTGAACAAAGTCTTGCTCTCACCTAAGGGATTATTTTGCCAGGATTCTGCCACTAACCAAATCTTCTATTTTAACTGGACCTTGTGTTATTGTAAGTTGTTATGCAGGCCAGTGGTAGGGTGTAAATTTTTAGGAACCTGGTAGCTTTTAGGTGTGGCATTTGTCATCAGGTGGTGGGGGGGTGGTGGTGATCCTTCAGGATACTTGCAAGACGTAGTATACTAATTTCTATAAATCTGTGCATCCACATTGCAAGTGACAGCTTATAGGATGGCTTGATGCAAAGATGAGGTGTTAAGACAGCTTTAAGTTTTAGATCCCAATTTCACTCTTACCCACCATAATATCATTTCACTCCTTAAACCTGGAAATTGATGACATCACTGATGTTGAACTGATACAGAGGAAGTAAATTAATTCCTTGCTCCATTTGTTGTCCTCCTTTGTGAGATTCTCACATTTATGCCTCAGTATGATGAGGTGGTGAGAATTCAGTCTCTACACCATCTGCTTTTAAATTTCCAGCTATCATTAGCAAGAGGAGGATCTGGAAAGTATGGGTCCCTTACTGAATGGGGGAGGCAATCTTGTGACAGAGGGTGCAGAAAAGGCTGAAGTGCTCAATGTTTTCTTTGCCTCATTATTCACAGGCAAGGTCAGTTCCCAGACTACTGCACCTGGCAGCACAGTTTGGGGGGGGAGGTGAGCAGCCAACAGTGGTGAAAGAAGAGGTTAGGGACTATTTAGAAAAGCTGGACATATACAAATCCACAGGGCCCAACAGGATGCACCCAAGGGTGCAGATGAAATTGCAGTGCCAATGGCCATCATCTTTGAAAACCCATGGCTATCAGGAGAGGTCCCAGGTGACTGGAAAAGGGCAAAATGGTGCCCACATTTAAGAACGGGGAAAAAGGAGGATCTGGGGAATTACAAATCAGTCAGCCTCACCTTAGTCCCTGGAAAAATCATGGAGAGGATCATCAAAGAATCCATTTTTAAGTACTTGGAGGAGAAAAAGGTGATTAGAAACAGTCCGCATGGATTCACCAAGGACAAGTCATGCTTGGCCAACCTGATTGCCTTTTATGATGAGGTGACTGGATCTGTGGATGCGAGGAGACCAGTGGATGTAGTATACCTCGATTTTAGCAAGGTTTTTGATATAGTCTCTCACAACATTCTTACAGGCAACCTAAGGAAGTGTGGGCTGGGTGAAGGCACTGTAAGGTGGATAGAAAACTGGCTGGAGCATCAGGCACAGAAAATAGTAATCAATGGCTCAATGTCTAGGTGGCAGCCAGTATCAAGTGGAGGTTGGTCCTGGGACTGGGTTTGTTCAACATCTTCAACAACCTCAAAGATGGTATAGAGTGCACCCTCAGCAAGTTTGCAGATGACATCAAGGTGTGGGGAGTAGTAGATATGCTGGAGGGTAGTGACAGGATTTAGAATGATCTAGACAAATTGGAGGATTGGGCCAAAAGGAATCTCACAGGGCTCATTAAGGACAAGTGCAAAGTCCTGCACTTAGGACGGAAGAATTCCATGCACTGGTACAGGCTGGGAGCTGACTGGCTGGGCAGCAGCTCTGCAGAAAAGGACCTGGGGGTTACAGTGGACAAAAAAGCTGAATATGAGCCAACAGTGTGCATTTGTTGCAAAGGCGGCGAACGGCATACTGGGCTGCATCAGGAGTGATCATTCCCCTCTATTCAGCACTGGTGAGGCCACATCTGGAGTACTGTGGTAGCAACAAAAATACTGAATAACCTCCACTAGTGAACAATGGGCTTTAGCCCTGGCATGCATTTTATGCATTAGCCCAGTCATCTATGCACTAAATTGAAGGATAATACTCTGATTGGCTAATACTTACCTGCAGTTCAGAGTACTTATGTGAGGTCAAAGCACCTCCTTGATTTAATGCTCCAGTACCCAGAGGAATTTCCCAGATTGCAAACTTAGTGACTTCTGAGGAAAAGGATGTCTATAAGCTTCAATGGGTTAGAGAAATGGAGAACACAAAGATAAACTGGAAACAACTTAAAAAATGTGCAACTTGTATTTCACAGGGCTTTTTTTAAGACAGAACTCAAGACAATTAAACAAGTGTACTGTAAATAGTAGGCACCATAATCAATATGAGCCAACAATATTTAAACTTGATTCAGGCCACATCCAGAATTCTTTTCTTATTTACAAATATTTAAATTAAATACAACACGAAGTATTTGTTACATACGAAGTAAGAAAAGAATACTATACAACTTGAAAAGGTACAGTGTTTCATTACAATTACATTACATTTAAGCTGAATAATGCCAATTAGGGCTCATGTTTTGATGACTCCTTCCAGAAAATCCTTCTCAACCATCTCTTCTATTTTTTGCCTTGCTTTGCTAGAGAATGTCTTCTGGTTTTCCATTTTTATGTCCTTATTGGGAAAAGAGTTTGGGTAAAGTACAGGGCTCCCTGAGTGTCCAACACACTTGCTTGTGACTTTGCTATTAAAAACTTGGCTGAGTACATTGAAGAAAGGCAGAAGTTGTTCAATGCTGCGGACTGTATATATGGTTAATAGCAAATGGCCTGGTTCCCAACTTAATGTTTTCCCTGAGCTGTCCTCCTCGGGGTTTTTCTGTAAATACAGGAAGTATTAAGTAGCATAGAACAAAATCCAACAACAAAATACTTTGTGCAGAGAGAAAAGACAGGGCTACCCATTAAATAATTTCAGTGCATTGCTACAGCAAAACACATATTAAATGCTATCCTTTCTTCTTTGGAACCATTGTATCCTGGAGATTCAATAAGGCAGCAACTAAACACCAGTCATAGTTACAGCTTTGCCTCCTATTAGCAATATTAATATACATAAATAACAGTTATATGCTCTCCACCTTGGGTTTCATATAGAATTTGAAGGGAGAAATTTCTGGAACCCCCGCACTTAAGGCAGCAGTCCTAAACAACTTGTTTAAAGGGTGTGAGAGAACGTACACTGGAACTTGGGTTTTTCATAGGGCTAGGTTCCTCCCCTGCAAAGAAGAAGAGGGTTTGCAATGTATCCAGGAGTATACACAGCTGCAGCAAATGCCTGTGTGGGACCATGGAACGGTGCTGTTTGCCGCAGGTTTTATTTGAAAGGGCACTGCTCGTCCAATAAGCTACATGGGATTATGTTTGTGCTGCACCTGATGGGTGATGCAACGAAGCAAAAGATGGGTGAAGCACCCTTACCTACATGATAAATCCAGGTTCTACTGTGTTTGCATTAATCCCTACTTTGGAGTTTGCTATAGTGTTACCAAAATCTAAGTACTGATATCCTGTACTGTATAGTGTAGCCTTTAACCATCAGTTCCCTTTCTGGATGATAGTATCAACAACATTATATCTAAACTTAAGAAATACCAAGACAACACCAACACTTGAGAGCCTATGGCTGCACTAGTTTAAGTGAACCAGTACAAAAGTCCAGATTTTGTGGTAGTTTCTACCACAAACTAGATGTACCTGGCCATTTTACAAGCAATACTTGGTACTTATGTTATTTTTTAAACATTACATGTTGCCCAAATCAAAACTAGCCTTGCCTCAAGCAGAGCACCTGGAGAAATGGAGTATAAACTTATGTTCTTGATATATATTTTTTTTTAATTTTCTTTCCCACCATTGTGGAAAAGGCATGGCACTCATAGAAGAGAGACTTTTCAATGTTTGATTTTCATGATATTGCCTCATGGTGAACAGTTACGTACATTCTAAAATTCTGCGCATAAGCAAAAAATGCAAGAGATTTAGCTGGTGGAAGAGCTCAACCAACATGCACCACTGCAAATGCCACTGGTCTCCTTGGAAGTGGTCAATGAAGTGCTAATCTACCCCATACCATTTCTACTGCTTAGACTGCAAGGTGAAGAAACACATACCTCACTAATTTCTTGGATAGGGAAATGAAAAGTAATTTGGCACGGAGACTAGAATACTAGATATATATTTTGGTTTATGTTGTGCGGTAGAAGTAATTTTGTTGTTTAAATTCTGTGATGGCATTGGGCTATATTTCTTTCAGAAATGAATGAACTATTTGTAACCTTTTATGTACTTAGATAAGCTGGTTTAAAACAAAACACTTCTTCTCATTCACCACTTATGAAAGAGAAGCACGTATCACTATTCTTCTCTGCCTTCATCAAAATAGACTTATTTTTGTCCTTAGGAAAGATTCATTACCTTTTGCCTCCTTCATTATAGTACAGATACCACATAAGACTGTGAGCATCTGATGGTGAAAAACCAATTTTTGTTATACAACTCAAGCATCAAAGGCCTCCCTCACCTGATGCTTGGCCATCTCCAATCCCTCCAAAATCATCATCTTAAAGTCCTCCTGTTTGTCCTGTGGAAGGAAAGAGGAGAACTTTCAGACTATGCTTTGTGAATCAAAACAATACTTAGCCATGAAGGCCTTGCAGCTGGCAATTTGGGTGTTATGAGTTAGCAAAAAAGTTATGTTCCAAAGAGCCCAAATCTGGTATCATAGCGTGGGGGAAGGGGGCAGACTATGGAATTAGCAGTGGTCAGAGGAGGCTAATATAGAAAGTATTTCCATTTTTGTTGTTTATTGTCACAGTGCAGAATTCATTGCCTACAGCTGACAGAAATGCTGAAATCTGACATGAATCAAATTGAAACAAAGCTAAGATCAAACAAGCCTTCCTGCTGCTAAATTTTCTTCTTCATAAGAAACACAGGGCTGTCTTCATTAGTGTTCTTCCACTGCAACCACAAAGACATAATGAACTGAGACCTAGTATTAGTTGCTGCCTTGACTAGAGGGTTCCAGATATTTCTGGAAGCTTTGCAAGCTCCTGAAGCACACTATAGAAGCTACAAGTTTAACAAATGTGGATCTTCATGTATGTTTTTACCAGCAGATAATATTGTAAAAAGCACATGAACAGTCTATTTTGGAATGCATGTAACACACGAGTGATGCAAAATACTGTATCTTTAAACTCCAAGTGAGGAATGTGCAGCATTTAACAACTCAGATAATCATGTACACTATTCCTGAATAGCATTTTATCAGCACACCCATTAACTCTTTTGCGTGGTTGGGAAAAGAGCATACAGGGTCCTTACTCCTGGCTTCTGAAAGACAAACAAGAATCCGGACAGGCTCCAAATATACTGTGCAAAATTTCTGTAGTTGTGTTTGTTTCGCAGTAGATATATATCGACATGTCACCCTTGAACATTTTCACATAGCAGATACCTATATTCAACAGATTTCCACTCCAAAAGAGATAACTCAGTGGAAACTTTTTTACACAGAGGGGTTAAGTATGGTAAGTCAGAAGAGACTGTCACCAACGATATTCAAATGAAGCCCCAGAACAATCTCAAGGTTGGTTTCCCTGTGCAAGTTTTAAGTACCTTATGTCCCTTCTTTTCTTGCCCTGGCCAGCCACTGTTCCACCTGAGCCTCTACTGCTCCCCTCAGTTCAAGCCCCAGTACTAGAAAATACTGGCTGGGCACGGCTACACATGCAATTAATACAACTGAATAAACTCTGGTGCAATTTGAGCAAGAGTAAACTAATCCTGATGTTACCATCTACATGTGCATTTAAGCACAGGAATTTAACTCCACCATCGGATAGTACCAGTGTCTGATGGGACTTTCTGATGGCACTGTAAATTAGTCTACACCACCCAATTGCTGTGCATGTGTAGACAGTGACGCCTTACTGTGCAGTAAAACACACATGTAGACATGCATGTAGACAACCTGGTGGCCTTCTATGACCAGGTCACAAAATCCTTAGACGCAGGTGTAGCAGTGGATGTAGTCTTTCTGGATGATAGGAAGGCCTTCGACATTGTCTCTCATCCCATTCTCATTAAAAAACTAGGAGACTTTTGTCGACACCTACACAATCAAATGGGTCACTAGTTGGCTGGAGGGCCGCGCTCAGAGAGTGGTGGTGGATGGGTCTTATTCGATATGGAGGGATGCGGGCAGTGGGGTCCCCCAGGGCTCGGTCCTCGGGCCTACACTGTTCAACATCTTCATCAACAACTTGGAGGAGGGGGTAAAAAGCACCCTGTTCAAATTCGCAGATGACACTAAGATGTGGGGAGAAGTGGGCATGCTAGAAGGGAGAAATAGGCTGCAATTGGACCTAGACAGGTTACAGGGGTGGGCGGATGAGAACAGGATGGGTTTCAACACTGATAAGTGCAAGGTACTGCACCTGTGGGGGAAGAACCAGCAGCATACCTACAGGCTGGGGAACTCCCTTCTCATCAGTGCCAAGGCAGAAAAGGATCTTGGAGTCATTATTGATGCCAAAATGAACATGGGCCGACAGTGTGGGGACGTGGTCAGGAAGGCCAACTGTACCTTGTCGTGCATCCACAGATGCATCTCAAGCAGGTCAAAGGAGGTGATCCTCCCCTTCTATGCGACACTGGTCAGGCTGCAGTTGGAGTACTGCATCCAGTTCTGGGTGCCGCACTTCAGGAGGGATGTGGACAACATGGAGAGGGTTCAAAGGAGGGCCATCCACATGATCAGGGGTCAGCAGGGCAGCCCCTACGAGGAGAGGTTAAGGGACCTGAACCTGTTCAGCCTCCACAAGAGAAGGCTGAGGGGGGAACTAGTGGCCATTTACAAACTAGTCGGGGGGGACCAACAGGCATTGGGGGAGTCCCTGTTCCCCTGAGTACTACCAGGAGTGACAAGGAATAATGGTTACAAGCTGGCAGAGGGTAGTTTCAGGGTAGATTCAGATCAGGAGGCGCTACTTCACTGTCATGGCAGCTAGGATCTGGAACCAACTCCCAAGAGGAGTGGTGCTGGCTCCTACCCTGGGGGTCTTTAAGAGGAGGGTGGATGAACACCTTGCTGGGGTCTAACCCCAGTACTCTTTCCTGCCATGGCAGGGGGTCGGACTTGATGATCTGCTCAGGTCCCTTCTGACCCTACCAACTATGAAACTATGCCCACAGACGTCTTCCCATTCCATGGCAGTAAGGGGAGCTTCTTAAAATAAAGGTAGGGTTTTGGCAGCTGTGGAAAAAGCTGGCTGGTACTCTGTTCAGTCCTTCATTCCCTATTCCAGATTTAACTACATGTGCAGGTCTCTAGCATTTATTGTTGCTTGCATTGGATAAATGTCAGCTGAAAGAAACTGAGTGGAAGGGCCTTCGTGCAACCCCTGGGAGATGAAAAAGAAGTCCCTACCAAATTTTCCCCTTTTACTGGTAGTACCTGCCTTCCTCCATCTATGAGAACTCCTCCCTTTCTCAGCTCTACTCCCACTCCACACAGTATCAGAACCAACATTCAGCCATCTCACTGATTTCCTCAACTCTTGCTTTTCAGAACTGCTGTTCTAAGCCTGTTCCTTGCCCATTCTATCCCATTCTACAATCCAGCTTTAGTAGTCCAAGTACCAATGGTTCATATGTTCATCCTACTCATCTCTGCTATGAAATAATTTCTTATATCTGTTAATACACAATCACTTAACTTTTTGCCTTTTAAATATTTGTAAGAATCTAATGGGAAAAGACACATCTTTCTTCTTTAATGTATATACATCATGTTCTCATCTATATAGAGATTTTTATATGCAATATATTTAGAATTTGGAAAGTATTGTAAATGACAAAGGTATAATTGGATACCGCATAGCCAATAAACAAAGTACATTTATTTTACATTATGCTGATTTGAGACTCATTTCTATATGAGGATCTAGCATCCTTTTGATTCTCCATTAAGAAGTGCTATTCACTGCACATGTAACTTTACAACATAATGGAAAATGGGGAAAATTACATACCTTTGCTTTCTTCCGCAGCAGTTTTGCTAGTCGTACCACATATGGTTTAAATTCCCTTTGATGTGTTCCCTGTCTTCGCACCTCCAAACCTGAATCATCTGATGCTTCTGGAATAAAAGCCCAGCGATACCTATCAAGAGGTGACATAGTTAGAAGTTGTTCATAGCTTTTCAAAGTTGACTCTATCCCAATATCATTACTATAAAACAAGGGAATCTATGAAATCATAGCACATCTAATATTTTTGTAAATGAAGAAAAAATTGATTCTTCCAATAGAGGAGGAAAAACCATATTCAGGACTTTGGGCAGATTAAGAATTTTGAAAAGGTGTGGAAGGGAGGTGGGGTGCAGATGGTGTGGTGCAATATCACATATAAACACAACATATTTTTATCCAGGTAAAAAGAAACTAGAAGCTTTACTAATATGTGAGGGGCCTAGGGCTTTTTTATTCAGTATACGGTCAAAACAAAAATGAATATAACTTTATTGGAGTGTGAACTAATTTTCTAGATTACATATTAAGTAAAAAACACAATAAATTAGGGAAAAATAGTCAAAAGATACTGTTTATTAGTCCTGTAGCCATTATAGTTAAATGTACATCTCTTATTCAGATTCATAAAACAAGATTTACCCTGCTTGAGCATCTTGACAGTGCATCCAACACAACTATCAATCATTTGTACACTTGTGTTAATGTTACTACACCTGAGTTAAGGTTTTTAGCTAGGACTAAAAACAGTCTTCAGGGCTGTGAAAAAGAAGTGATATTAACAGGGATGGCTATAGATGCAAAAACTGCAGAAACAACCATAACTTAATTAATGGAACATCAAGACCATTAAAAGGAGAGATGTCATTAGCACCTGAGATACACAGGAGTTAGGTACATTATAATGAACCATTAAATCAGTTGACCCCTTCAGCACTGCCTGAATAGAAATGCTACTGCCCCTCCCAAGCAGTCAAGTTTAGGTTGAACAGGAATCAAAAAGGCGGGGATGCAACTGCACCCCCTTGATCCACCACTGTTCAGGACAAGCAAAGAGACTGTAATAACACTGAACAGAAACAAGTTTTCTTTACCTCTCTAAAGTTTCTTCACTAAACATTTGTATGACTTATTTAGGCTACCCAAGAAAGAGGAAAAAGTAAAGGAAGATTTAAAAAAATCTGATACCTTTATTACTACTGTAGCCAAAAGAAAATTTAGAGTGATTTTGAGGTATGTAACAAAATGCTAGAGGTAGCTTTTTATACTTGCAAATTACTGCTATACCTTCCTTGGCCTGTAGAAATTTTTATGAAAGGTAAAACCATGACATACTAAATGCATCTAGCTATTAACCAGTTTCCCCTGTCTATCCCTGGCCACTGTCCTCCTGCTCCTTCAAAATGAGGAGGATGATCTTCCAATAATAGGGGAGTCATCAGTGAATCCAGGGATGATTCAGGAGGTCAATCGCAGATGTGTGTGTTTAACTAGCAACTGGTTCTGGAAGGAAGGAGTGAGTCCTGGTAATTGCATGTCACGTGTCTCTCTTGCCTATCAACCTCTACAGTGAGGTGAATTTGCTCGAATTGATCAATGCCTTGTCAAATATCACAACAGCACTGGGGGCAATTTGGTGATTGAGTCTCCCAAAGTACCAGTGTTAATGATGCATTCCTTCACATTGGCCTATTTTTGAATTTTTTCTTTTGCCCACCTCCAGAGCAATGGCCATCAATGAATTGGGAGTAGAGGACCTGTTTTGGGAGCCAGTTACCAAGCATCTTAATAACATGTTTTGTCCAATGGAGCTGGTGTCGTATAAACACTCCTTCAGTGATGGTAGTTTGCTTGAGCCAGAACACTAGCATTTGTTCTTCTGTCCTTCCAATTGTTATGGAGGTTTTTTAAAAGGCATCACTGATGGTAACGTTCCAAAACTTTCAGATGTTTCCAATACGTTGTCCAAGTCTCACACCCATACAGCAGGATAAGAATGATGATAGCCTGATAGACAAGAAGCTTGGTTTGAGTCATGATGTCATGATCAAAGACACAATTTCGGAAATGTCCAGAAGCAGCACGGGCAGACTTTATCCAATGTTGAATATTGTCATCTATATTTACTTTTTGGGAAAGGGGTAATGCTTAACGCTCTCCAAGGATTGTCCTCCAACTGTAATATGTGGAGGATCTGTGGCTTGGCTTGGGCTGAGCTGGTAAAGCACCATGGTTTTTGTGAAGTTGACAGATAGTCCAAGCATTTCATGTTCTTCACAAAAGCAATCAAGGGCAGCCTGGAGCTGTTCAATTCAGTGAGCACACACAACATAATCATCAGTGTATTGAAGATAAGTAATGAAGGTATTAGTTATCTTTGATTTGGAGTGTACTAATTGATGTTAAAAACATTCCCATCCATTCATGTGATACTGGATTCTGACTCTCGAGAAGTCTCTCGCCAATAAGATGTGGAATAGCTGCAATATAGAAAGAAAAGAGTGGTGGTGCAATCACACGTCTTTGCTTGTCTCTAGTTCTAATAGTGAAGGGGTCTATTTCCAAGCCGTTGCTTAATGGCACCCAAATCTCATCAGGTTTTTCCATAAAGAAAACTGTCGGTTGAAGCAAAGGTGTTAGGTCAAGAAAGGCTATGCAAAAATCTTGGGGTTGCTTCTGGCACTTCTGAAACTGTCCAGCAGCAAAAATCAGATCAGCTGCATCTCTGAGCGGTCTGAAACTATACTGAGAGTCGAACAGAATCTCCTCAGCCAGGAATGTGACTCTATTGGGGAGAATGTGGGTGTGGATCTTCCCAGCAATGGACAGGAAGGCAATATCAAAAATAACTGTTGCAAGCCATTTTACCTCCTTTCTTGAATATGGCAATGATTTTGGCATCTCATAGATCACTGGGAACCTGTTCTGTGTTTCCAGATTTTTAGAATAACCATTTGCAGCTGGTGAGACCTTCTTTCCACTTTGCTTATAAATTTCAGCTAGGACTATATGCTTTGTTGGTTTTTCATCTACTTAATGACTTTCAAGGCCTCTTGGTAAATTAGTGGATCAGCAATGTGGAACTTAATGGGATGTTGTGGAATGGCTTTGATGGCATTGTCTTTGATGTTAGAATCTCAGTTCAGGAACTCTTAAAAGTGCTCCTTCCACAGCTGTCTTTAAAGCATGAAAAAATGTCCCCCTGAGTATCACATACCATTGTAAGAACTGGCTAAGTGCACTGTGCACTACAGTAGAAGATGAAGCTGTCCTCTCTGAAAAATCAGGTAAGATTGTTCAGGAAACCAGGAAAATCAGATTAATGGTCTGATCCATTATGCAGAAGATGTTGTTTCGAGGAACATACAGTAATGAATAAAGAGAAATATCTTACTAGAAAGGACAAATTTAATAAAGTCATAACAACAACAACGAATAGTAGGACTCTGTAAACAATTTTGTTGGAAACGTAAACCTACCCATAAGTTAGGGTAGATCCAAAATTCTAATCAAACTTAAATCATCACCCCAGGCTTATGAAACTTGAAGCACCTAAACCTAGAGTGACATGTAGCCCCTTCCTCACCCTCATTCTTCTTAAAAAAAAAAAAAGGTAGAGAGGGGTAAAGTTGATTGAATTCTGCAGAAGTTGTCCAAGGGCAGTGGCAATTAGTCGCTGGCAGTTGATTTATCCAAAGATGATTGGGTTGGAAAATGTAGCTCTTTGGGGCTCCATATTTTATAGCTACCATTACTGGAGAGGCTAAGGAGGCATAAGGAAACAATGTTGCAATCATGAATTATTGGAGTCAAGAGAAGTTATTAATTCTTAACCAGCAGACATCAGTATGTTGCAACTTCCTCCACAGGATCCATTCAGGTGATGTCCAGGTGAGATTGTTAGGTCTTCTGATCAAATACGGTGTCTGTAGTAGTCTTGCTGAGGCAAGCAGGCATATATTTTGGACAATTGAAAAGTATTACAAATAAGTAATTTAAAAATAGGTACTTGACCAAATCACTTATTTTGATTATCTATAGAATTATGAATTCTGAGCTCACTGTTTCACTTACAAATGCTGTAGCTATTTCAAACACTTCAAGGAAGCATACAAGTCGTACTCTGATCAGACCATCTGAAATGCCTTCAGATACTTTAGGAAAAAGAGGAAAACCTAGTTTTTGGTTTAGAGATGGTAAAAGAATCTCTTTCTGTTTACTTTTTAAATATATTTTTAATTTGAAGGATCCATATGCATTCTATCCGTAATTTCAGAATTCTGTCAATACAACATTTCAGTTCACCTTTAAAAGGTGCAGATTCATAGATTATGCATAGATTGTAAGGGGCTGGAAGGGACCACGCAAGATCATCGGGTCCAGCCCCCCTGCGCTAGGCAGGAAAGACACCTGGGGTCAGGTAACTGTCCAATCTCTTCTTGAAGATCTCCAGGGTAGATGATTACACCACCTCTGGAGGGAGTTTATTCCACAGTCTGGACACCCTAACTGTGAAAAAGTTTTTCCTAGTGTTAAGCCTGAAATAGTTGTCCAGGAATTTGTGGCCATTACTCCTGGTTTTCCCCAAGGGTGCCCTGGTGAACATTTGTTTGCCAAGCCCTTGATGTATTCCCCTGATGTAGTGGTATACCATATATGGTTTAATTGGGCAAAACCAGAAATGTTTTAAGTATTCCACCATTGTTCCAAACAAACACACACACATTTCTGCTAAAGATTCTAGGTAGTCTTGTTCAATAGGCAGTGTCCTCTATAAGGTGTACTGTATTAGTACCCTCATTGGAAGGCATTAAAGCACTACAGATCAAATTATACCCCATGTTAACTCTATTCAAGTGAATGGAATTAAACAGGGGATAGATATGGCCCTCAATACACACACAACATTATACTAAGATTGGAAAAATACATCAGGCCTGAGTCCTATCCCAGTTCCATCCCTTTGGGCTACCAATGTAGCACGAGGGGGAGACTCATTCCCTGGCTGGCGAGTTGAGAATTCCATCAACGTTGAGAGCAGATGGGATAGAGCAGAGCTCCAGTCTTCACTACTAACCCTTAACTGCCATACAGGCTATTAGTTTTTAAGAGGAGCTCAGAATGCAATGTACTTCATATCTTCAAATTTCCCTTAAGATTTACCTTTTGACCAAGATAAAGCATCAGAATTCCAGACAAAATGAAATCTATGACTTCTGAGAGACTGAAAATACAGGGGTTTAGGACAGAATGGTAATCTAAACCAGGGCTGTGTGATGGGGATCGCAGGCCACATGTAGCCTGTGAGGAGTTAAGTTCCTGGCTACTGCTCCCCCTGTTGCTCCAGCTGCTCTAGGGGGCAAGGCGGTGTCCTGCACAGTGCAGAGAGTGAGTCTGGGGCTGTGTGGACACATGGTGCAGCAACAGTGGAGGTTTGTATGCACCTATGTGGATGTGTGATGTAGCAGTCTTGTGTGTTGGGAAGCTACACGGGCGTGCACTGCAACGACATGGCAGGGGGCCACATGGGCATGCACTACAGTAGCAGGGACATCCACATGGCCTGAGGGGCCCATGGCTTGCCCTCATGAGTCCCATGGGATATGCAGCCCTCACTGGTGCAGCCTGCGGGGTACGTGGTTCCTGGCTCGGAAGTTGGACAGCCCAGATCTAAGCCTTCCTGATGGTATACCCTTGTTACTGACAAAGTCTCTAGGCAAAAAGAAGGCAATCAGCTACTCTGAACTAGAGACAGGAAGACTGTGTGAAAAGAAATTAAACAAAGTTTTTAAATTTTAGAATTTTACAAGGCAATAGTTAATATTTTAAAAATGTAAAATATTTAATCTCCTTTTACTTACATCTGGAACTGTGGAAGGTTTTCAGATGGTAATGCAAGAGCCAAATCCAGAAATTTACAAGCAGACAAGTAAAGATTTAACCACCGTTGACTATTGTATGATGTGGAAAAGCCATTGCCTCCTGTGTATGTTGTCTCCAGACCAGCAACAGATGGGCCTGAAGTTCTAAAATTAAATGATAATGAATAGCTGCATAGGTTAGTTATAATGACCTTCAGCCACGTATGTTCTTTTTTAGCATTTTGTTTTACAAATAAGCATATCTAACTTGTTAACTTAACTGCAACTCCACAGATCACACAGTAGCATAGTCTCTGTTATGTTTGGAGATGATAGACTATGCTTAAAATGTATCAGATTCCTGCCAATCATCCAAGTTAAGCAGGCATTTGTTAACTTGCCAGTTGTAAGGATTTTACTTTCGGGAGAGATTTTCAAAAGTACAGAAAGGAGCTAAGAAAAAAAATAAGCAGGAGTTGGAACGTAATTTCCCCTGTGCCTTTGAAAAATCTGCCTTTAAAGCTATAACTGTACAAACTAGACCATATTCTTTTCAGAAGATGTGGGGAGGATGAGCAGACAACAAAACTGAAAAAAGTAAAAGAGATTTAAAATTCTTTATGCCTTTTAAGCATTTCATCAAAACAAATATTTCCATTATATTTTCTAGCGCACACACCCTTTGAAACACAAGCTATACAGGTACTCCTCACTTAACGACCTGCCTGTTTAACGACTGCGCGGACTTATGACCAGCGAGAACTGGTCGTATGTACGAGAACTGGTCGTAAGTACGAGCACTTTGGTCTTTGAAACGGCAGTGCGGCGTCTCAAGCCAAGGCATGCAGTATCAAGGGGCAGCTCCTCGCTTATCAACCAATTCGCTTAATGACCTAGTCGCAGGAACGGAACTCGGTTGTTAAGTGAGGAGTGCCTGTATTACAATGTCCTATCTTGGTAAATCATTAGAGTAGCCCTACTGACTAATATGGGACTATTTATAGGAGTTAACATTACCCATGTGAGCAAGATTCAATAACTGGTGGTGATGTATTTTTTTTAAACCGAGAGAGTCAAACAATGTTCTGTTACTGCAGTTTGAATTAGGTAGTCTTCATTTGTTCTTTTTCTTTTGAACATGAATAACTTTCTAAATATTGATTCTATTGATTATTAGCATTTCAGAAGATGACAAAATATTATAAAAGCGAATGAATACCTAGAAGTTAATTTAATTTTACCTTGAAATATCTTCATCAGCAGTGAGTTCTTGTTCCATCAGTAAAAACACTTGTACCTGAAGGTCAAAGGGTACACTTAAAAAAAATCCTTTTTAAGGGACAGTAACAAGTTAAAGCTTCTGCAGCTTTTAAAGGCAAGAAGTAACTGGGTTTAGGCCTGGAACACAGCTTCTTAGGGAAAGTATATAAAGAAAGGGGAACCTAGCAGAGAAGGAGAACACTGAACTCCCTTCTAAGCTGGCCGGTTAAAACAGGAGAAAAGCCTCCAGAGAATTACTGATTTCTGTTTTTGTGTATGTTTGGAGGATAATAAACAAGACCGGAGGCAAGCTTCAAGGTGCCTAAAGTTTTGAGCTTTATTTCCATTCTCTGGCTGAAGAAATCACTCACCAGCTTATACAACCAAAAATGGGTTTACAGAACCAGATTCCCTATAAATCAGGGGTGGGCAATTATTTTGGCTGGAAAGCCACTTAAGTTTCAGCAAGCTGTCGAGGGCTACACACACAAATCTTTTAGAAGATATCATTTTAACAAATATAGATAAAAACAATTTGTATACTAAAAATCAAACGTCTACTATCACATATTTTAATTTTATTTCAAAACATTATTTTGTCCTGATTTATGCTTTTTGAGTAGTGTATATAAAGGCAATTGAATAATAGCTCAAAATAAAATCTTATTTTTGCATATTGTGTGGGGAGGTGTGCACGTGTGTGCAGGGCTGCCCGCACACTAGGCCCCAGGAGCCAGCCAGAGGTGGGGAGAAGGAAGGGGAGGGGCAGGGGCCGCATGCAGCAGAGCTTGCTGGGGTGGTATGGTGCAGGTGCAGCTTTCCTCCCACCTGGAGCAGTGCAGCAGGGGCAGGAGGAGGAGGAGTTGCTGGAGACTGGGGAGCTGAGCATTACCTAGGTGGCTGCAGCTGCACCTGGAGCAGCCCCGCTGGGAAGTTATGCACACTGGCCAGGGCTGGGACTAGGGCTGGAGCCAGCAGGTGTGAGCACGAATGGGCTGCCTTGGTGAGGAACAGACAGGGTTCAGCCCCATGCAGAATGTTGGGGAGGCAGGCCAGATCCAATCAGTTGGTGGGCTGGAACCAGACTACAGGCTGTATTTTGTGCACCACTGCTATAATGTATTAATTCTGCAATTAATACTACAACAGGCAAATAATTTGGGTGCAGCTCTCCACCTGACAATTCTCCCACAAGTAAACAATCCTCAGCTAATATAAAGCCTGAAGAGCCAGTTCTTAGGACAATCTTCTTCACCCTCTGCTATAGTGGAAGGCAGGACATAATCAGGTGAAAGGAAGCATGAGAATATAGTTCCAGTCCCTATGGCAATTGTCAGCTGGAGTGCGGTCTTCAGGAGACCATAGTCAACTCAAATAAAGACAGACAGCCTCTAGGGGCATGTCCACACATACAAGCACATGCACTTGCAGCAGCTCAAATAGAAGCGGTGCAAATATGAGCTGGGGCTTTTTGCCTCAGTGCACATGCCTGGACTTGCACTTGTGTGGGGCAAATTGTGTCACTTGGGGCAAAATAACCCTGACTAGCCCCTCCTGAATTTGCAGCCAGGGGGAGCTAGAGCCTGGGGCCAGCATCTGTGCTGTCCTCATCACTACAAAAAGCTTCCCTGTCAAGTAGCTCAAGGGTACTCACTCAGGAGTTTCTGAGGCCCAGCCAATTGGTACCTGGGGACAGTACCCCTTGTGCCAGCTGGACTGCTGAAGCAGCCCTGAGAGTTCCCTGCACCCTCTACCCACTGCAGCAGTCTGGCAGTGGGGGCTGCTGCCTGGCTGTGACCTGCTGCGCACTTGCCAGACTCAGATGAGGACTGCACAGCCAGCAGAGGCATCTGCTCCTCTGGGCCAGCTGCCAGTGGGCTGTGGCTGCGCAGTTGCCTTCGTGCAACACTACAGCCCTCCTGCCATGTGGCCTCCCGGCCTGGCCATCAGGGCAGCTATTGCCTGGAAGATGTTCCCAGTGTGGTGGCCTGCTTTGAATTGTGAAAGCATGTCTTCCTGGCCCCAACTGGCCAGGAGGTCAGCCACCTCCAACCGGGTCCAAGGTGCCAGCTCTGAGCAGGCTCCTCTTCCTTGGTCCTGCCACTTTTCTCCCGAATGGGAATACTGTTCCCCATTTTAAAACTGAAACATCCTTGACAGAAAAATCCCGAAGTGACTCTGTAAAATACTTCGAAATCCATGCTCCACCACAATTAAAATAAAAGGCTACTATCTGGGGAGAGAGAGAGAGAGAATGATCAGTTGGGCAATGTTTTATTGATATAGCTACAGTGTTAAAGCAATATGGAAGCCTGCCTGTCTACCATCATAATAAAATTAATTCTAAATACCTGTATGTTTTGCTCTTTGGCTTTGGTTTCCTTACCATAGAGCAGTTAGAGCTCTGTGACCCCTTCACTAACCAAGATGAGGGGACAGCTTCCCTATCAGCCATAGCTCCTGCCAGCAGGTCTGCTCTTGTCTGGCAGCTGGGCATGCTGGGGGGGATGTGGGGTTTGCAGGAAGGGGGTGGGAAAGGGGGGTGTCTGGGTGAATTCACCCCCCCCCCAACAGGGGCTATCACCCCCCCCCTGCTTGCCCCCCCAGCCTCTTAAAAAAAAAAAACAGAGCCTCATATTCACTGGCAGTAGCAGGGGCTGTGGGGCCACACAGCAGAGCTCCTCCCCCCACAGCACAGGGCAACAGGGGGCAGCGGGGACTGGCCCTGGTCACCTGGCACCCGCACCCCTACTGCCCCATTGTGCAGGTCTGGCCGGGATCGGCAGGATACTGCACAGCTCCACACGCTGTTGGACAGCTGGGGCCCCTGCGGCTATCACCTGGCTCCACGCTGCACAGGGGGCTCTGCCATGAGGCCCCTGTTGCTGCTACTACTTCTGGTGAGTGTGGGGCTTTTTTTCTTTTTTTTTTTTTAATTTGCTGGGATGCTGGGGCCAGGTGGGGCAGTGATTGGGAGGCTCGAGGGCAGGCAGGGGATGGGGCCGGGTAGGGCAGCATTCGAGGCTCGCATGCTGCCTGCCCTTCACAGGCAGGCAGTGTGCTTCAGCACCAGGGCAAGGGCCAGCCATAGAGATGCTCTGATTAGCTACCGAAGTGTTTCTGTGGAGGACCGAGCCTCCGGTTGCCTCAGGGCATGGTCCGGGACCGTGCCCTGCCCTGCTTTTTTCCCCTATGGTTTTTTTTGACTCCTGGATATCCAGGGGTCTAATTTTGCCCCAGTGCCATGGGGAACTTTTTTTTCATTCCTGCACATGCCTCTTGCAGCATCTCAGAGGACTTTTAGATGCTGCAAGACACATGTGTATGTTCACCCTAGGTGGCTACAATTTCTCTCAGGGCTGGGGACAGGTGGAAAAATCAGGGAAATGTAGCTACTTAGACTGGCAAACCTTCACTCATGATGTGATCATGTCTTACATAGGAGAGAATGCTTCTTAAATGTTCCTATGTTTTGAAGTCACTTTAAACATATATATTGCAAAACAATATTCCCATAATTTTTAGAATGCTTTTTTTCTGTAGCTTACCACCATTTACTTCTTAGAGCAGGAAGGGCATTATGCCTTCTTTACTCCCCCTGGGATAATCAAGAAGTAGGTTAACCTCCAGCAAAATTCAGAATTTATTTCAACAACTCTGTGTTTTTGTAACTTAAGCCAGTTGGTAATGGCTTCTCTAAGGATCACCAATGCTGACCTTAGATAAGTATAGAATAAAGTGTTCTGGCCATCTCCCACTTCTAATCCCATAATACTTTCTTTATGGGAGCCAGTGTGTCTGGGGATTTCCTGTATAAGAAGAAACTGTGGACAGCAGCTTAAAAGCAGCCTTCTAGCCTACTAGAGTGACACAAAGGGTAAAGACCAAGGCCATTCCTTACACCTTGCATTTATCTAATTACAAAACTTCAGCTGTAAAGTGCTGTGAATCACCACTGATCACCAAAATAACAAGACTTGGATCTTGATGTCATCATCACAGAGGGAAAAGGGCTTAATCAGTAACAGCAGGAAAGAAACAAGTGAGAGTAGTGAGGAGCAGACATGCTGGGAGGGGGAAGCAAGCTTCTTTGGCAGGAATTGAGCTGGTAATTAGGAGCAGGGAAGGAATGACGAAACTTCCTCCAGAAGACAGATGGGAAGGGACAGAGACTGCAATTTTCTAGGAAAAAAATATTTTCTGTATAACTTAACTGATAGCATAAACCGAGGATCGTCAATCTGCAGCATACGTGCCCCCACTGGCACAGACTATCTATATGCATGGCAGACCAGGCAGCATAGTGACAGATGGGGCAGGAAATAGAAAGTAGAGCAGCAGATAGGGTAGGGAGCAAGGGGTAGAAGAGAGAGCACCTCCTTCCTTACCGTGTCCTTGTGACAAGGTATTTAGCAGAATTCGCATATTCGTCAGAATCTGACAGGGCTGCACAGTGAAGGCTTCTGCTATGGCCTTGAATCACTCACCTTAGCACCTGTACCATGCCAGCCCCCAGGACAGCAGCTGATCAGGCAGAAGAAGGGGATCAGAGTAGCACTCAGGGAAGGCACAGGGCTAATCTGTGGCATGCCTGCCAAAAAAGTTAGCTCCCACTGGCATAAACCATACAGACATTTCACTTGATTCAGGAACACAAATTATAATCTAGCGTGTGCAAACAAGTCAGCATTCAGTTCAGGTCACGTCCACTGTACATCCAATATACATAATGTGACTATAGTTGCCTTCAATGAGACCAGCTAAGATGTTCAGGACTTGTTTGATATTTTTTAAACTTTACAACACAAATTTTCCAAATCATGAATGCTAACTGCAACTCACCAGCTCAGTGATCATAGTAGGCCAAAGTGAGGTAAGGTGCTGCGGAGACATTCTTAAAAGCAATACTCTGAAAAACAGGAATACTTGGGAATGAAGAGTGGGCACCTGTGGCAAACGGAGACTTTCCACCAGCCTTTCTGAAACAGAAAGTCAACAGAGATTGCTCAATTCAGAATACTTCTGGTTATTGTTTAATCTTTTCTTCAGTTTCTTCTCATTAGCTTTAAATGTATTTGAATAGAGAAGGGACCTTCCAAAAAAAAACCCGCAAAACAAAACAAATCACGGAACAATCAGACCAAGAAAATTATAATCACTGAACTACAGAACTGAAGGAAGAACCAAGACATCATGCCTATGAACAAAATAGCAGTTTGTCCTAGCAGTTTGAACTATGTTAGAGCAAAATCAAGAATGTCCCATTCCTACCAATAAGTCAGCAGG